CTGCTGGATGAGGGATCGGTCATTTGTTTAAAGGATGTTGGTGTTTTTTTGGATCATGACGCACAACCCAGTATTTTAACTCGGGTCAAAACGTCCCTATTGGTCACCGTGTGACCTGCAGAGTGGACAGTCAGAGAGTGGTACAATGATAAGGAGACCCCCGGATGAACCCCCGGTATCTCCTTTAATCTAAAGGGATTTTTAGGTAGAGACTGTAACCGTCTGTGATTGGTCACTGTGCAGAGACACAAATGTTTCTTGAGCTCAGACAAAACATGACGGATGTTTTTAACGTGCCCGGAGAAGAGGAGGTCAGTGAGGAAGGAGGTGATGAAGAGGCACATTCACCTCCTCATATTAAGAAATTAGAAAAAAAACAAAGAAAAACCCTCAGATAAGAAATAATTAATAAAGAGAAACATATTCTTCTTAAATTATCACTGCTTTTATTATTCACAACCTGTGAAAAAAACATTAAGGTAAAAAAAAAAATCCTGTTTCAATTGAAGTAAGAAACACCAACTAGTATCTTTAGGGAGATGAGGCAGGGGTTCTCAAATGGTGGGTCAAGGTCCCCTTTACGGTACTTAAAAATACTCCAGGGAAACGGTGTGATTTTTTTAAAATAAATTATATTTCTTTTAAAATCATCAACTGAAAATTTTGATTTCAAAAATATTTGAATAAAACCAGGACTGTTGCAAAGAACCAACTGCATTTGACACAAGGCGCCACCTGCTGGTCAGTAAATGTTGGACTTCTCAGCAGCTCTTTATTGAACCTGATCTGAATTAATGTTTAAATAATAATGAAGGTTTCATTGATGTGTTAGCGTGACTTTGTACTGTGCAGTACTTTGTACTGTGTAGTACACTGTACTGAACGATCCTCGTCTTCACCTCGGTTAAATCCCTATACGTACAGTACTTTGTACTGTGCAGTACACTGTACTGCGTAGAGTGAGTACAGGGACAATTCAGGTCAAACTGCTTTTGACATTCTGCACCAGTCACAGGTGTAACTGTTTAAACGGGTGGGGGGTGGGGGGGGTCTGTTGAGCAGGGGTTAATGTGCTGACCATGAACCACCAACCCCACACCTCTCTTTAATGTCGTCCCCCATTTCTGTCTCCCTCTTTATCAGCTCCACCCGCGCGGTAAGAAGGAAAGGTCGGTCGCTGACGTTCTGTTCTGTTTGTCTTTTCTCAGAACGGAGTGTCCAGAGAGTAAAATCCTGACCGTGGAGTATCCCTGCGTCAGAGCTGGAGGCAAGAACAGCACATGTTTCAGGTGAGACACCAGATCTGCCCCAGAAACAAAAACAAGTCACAGCACATCATTTATTCCACCGTGTCTGTGTCGAGCCGTCCGTCTTCATACCGTTACAGTGATACAGTCGGACGGACACTGACGGGACACTGACGGGACACGTGGTGTTTGATGTCTGTCGGGGAAATGGAAACTAAAACATCGTGCGTTCACGAGACACTTTCTGTAACGGCCAAACCTTCCTGCCATTTTTTCAAAATCTCCAAAGTATTTCCTAAAATAACTCACTTGTATAAGAAGGAAGAATGTACAGATGGTCATTTTGTTTCTGTTATTTTTTTGTAAAAATTTAATCATACTAAACGTCCCTTTGAACTGAGCTTAACTTCACCAGTGAGAGAGAAACACTGAATCTTCTCAGTCTGGGTCCAGAGCTGAATTATTCAGGGAGGGTTTTCTCTCCTCCTCCTCAGAGTCAGACACATCCATTATATCCCGAAAATTAGAAGTCATCCGTCAGGGGAGAGTTCCGTCCAAGACAAGTCGGGCTAGCACACTGCATGTTGTACTTATCAAAGACGATGAACGACATTGGGAAAACCACTAATTAGTGAAAAATACTGAAAACACTCGGGGTCATTGAACGCCACACATCCCAGGAAAAACGCTGCGACCTTTGACTCTTGGCGATGTACTGTAAAAAAAATCCAAACCAAAATCTTAAACCTTGAAATCTTACAGACATTCTCTGCTCATTGTCTCTTAGATTTTTACTGAAATACAAAAGATATTGACATGCTTTTATTTTTTGTAGAAACTTTTATTGTTGGACGTCTCGTGGTTCCAACACGTCGTAGATTTTTACCTCAGACAGAATTGTCCTCCTCTTCCCCTCAAACATCTTCCAGCACATTCTCTTTAATTTATGAGCGTCTGCTTCGATATCACATGAGCGTTGAGGTCGGCAAAGGTTAAGGGAAAAGTGTGAATCCAACGCAGACATTGCGGTCGAATGTCAGACCCGGGCCGCGGTGCGTCGTACGCTCGACGTGAGTTTAAATCAAGGTAAATTGCTCATTTTGACGTTTACACGATCTCTCTGCAGACCTAAGTTTGGCTGGGATTAGGCTGCAGACGTAAGAAGATCCTTTAATAAATGAGCCGCTGGGCCCGGTGTGAGGCCAGAACATTTGATCTGTTTGCTGTCAAGGTCACGTTATAACAGGCTCTGGTTCTGCTGCAGTGTTTGACCCGAGAAAGGTTTGGAGAAGTCCTCTGGATGCTGTTCATGTTAATTCATCCTGGAATCCCAGAACATTTAGACTTTTGTAAGAAACATTTTGTTTGGAGTATTTAGTCAAAAAGACATTTCTACTTTTTATTTCCTTTTTCCGACTCCATTTACGTTGGCGTGAGATCCATTCTTCCCGTTTCTTATGAGCCTACTTCTTGCAGATCCTGAAATTGGTCTTTAGAATTCCATTATTATATTTATTACGGAATAGATTTCAGATGTTATGGTGAACAGATGGTGTGGTAAAATGATTACCACAAGAAAAATCATTAGATTGAATATGTGGTTAGGCGACTTATGAAGGTTTTACACTTCTGGACCAGGTCCTGGTAGAACACTGGTACCGCTGCTCATTGGATTACATTCCTGGTTGATATAAGGATGAAACAGAAGCTCACTTATGGACTTAATTACAGCAGTCTCAGGTGGTGTGTTCAACATAGGTGCAGTCCTTTCTTTAGTCTGGATAAAAAAAACTGGACAAACGTGAGGGAGACCAACTAATCGGACCAAGTCTTCTTGGTAAGGATAGGCCTTTGACCTCGTTATGGTCCGATCACCTTTGACCTGACCTAAAGACGTGACCACTGAACCAGAATGGTGAAGGAGATAGAGTGGAAAAAGTGGATGTATGTTAAGAAACAGAGGGACAAAACCAATGGACAACTCCACGGACGTTACAGTCTGTGGTCTGGACACACTCTCACACAGATACACATCTACGGCCTGTTGCACAACGCTGTTTACTGGAGGTAACCAGGAGAATGTCTGTGTTGTTCCATGTTTCACTCAGATATCTTCTACCGTCATGTGAACGCTGATGCACAATTCCAGCATTCAGTCTGTCCCAGTCCATCCGACTTCCTGTCTCTCCGCTAACCTAGTTTGTTGATGCGGCATGTAGCGGATTATAGTCATAAATTCAACCACTGTTTTCTTAGCGGAAATATAACCAGGTTACAAAGTACAGAGTCCTGGAGCCGACCAACCATGAAGACTAATAAAAACAAGATATCCACTAAAACGATCGCCTGTAGTTTATTAAAAATAAAGTCTGACAATCAGAGTTATTTCCAGTTTCCTCCCCCGCTGCTCTCCATCACCGATTGTCACTCTGTGACTGATATTGGGTAATAATAGAAGCAGCTGCACAGCTGCTATGTTCATCATAGGGATACTGGATCATTTTTGACACTCAGTGAGTGAAAGTCGTGAATGTTGTTCACCTGGAAATCTGCCCAATTCCAGATGCTTGGTGTTTTTTTTTTTTTCCTTCTGCCATCTTGATTGTTGCTTCATCAATGTTGAAACGGCGTTTATATAAACAAAGATGGAGTTATAGTTAAAAATGTAGCTGAGATATAAATATATATGTATGTAAATATATATAGTATGTATGATTGTATATTTGTATGTATCGGTTTTTCCTTCGATGAAAACCCAGTGCCTGGGCTTTGCCAAATGATGTGTGCTCTAAAAATAGTTTTGGGGATAAACGGCTGTATATTAAAGTGAAAGTCACTAGGTGGCAGCATTGCAGCTCATTTGATTAATCTCATACTATAAATAAATAAACATTATCGGTTGCTATTGAAATCGGAAATTAAGTGTTTGAACAATATCGGTATATCGGAATTATTGAGCATCTTCTTCTGCCCCCCCCCAAGACAATCTTCTGTTATTTCTCTGTTTCTTTTTTCTATCTAAAAATACATATTTTTATAGAATAAAGGAAATGTAGAGTGTACCTTTAAAATCCAGACTGTTTATAGCTGTGATTGAAGTTGACACAAGAGCCATTTGGAAAATTTCACACCTTTCTTAAAAACACAGACCCAGTTCCTGTAAAAACACACAGCCATATTACGGGGCTTGTGGTTCCTAAGTCACAGTAGCATAAACTGTGTGGTGTTTTTATATGTGAGCGTTATTATAGCATATACGTCACTCCTGTGTCTCAGCGGGCTTGGAGCGTGGAGCTGCAGATGTAAATCCTTGTTCATCTCCTCGTCTGCTGTTGTGGCTTTGACAAGGTTGACGGTGATTCCTCCGACTGTTGGGACGTTTGTGGTTCCATGAAGTGATTGTTTTGTCTTTGTGTTGGAGGTTAGGATTTACTCTGGGCCGAGCCAAGGATACACGGATCATATTCAGAGGTTTTTCATATGAGCTGAATGTTTATCCAGCAGTTTGTACGAAGAGCCTCTGCAGTTTAGTTTAGTACTTTTCTTTTGGAACTGTTTCTCCTGAAATTCCCAAATGTTCCCTATTTACAAAGATCCAACATAATCTGTATGTAAAACACAGCATTGCAATCAGAAATCTTTCTGAAGTTGTTGTGAACGCAGTTTTAAATTAACTGGTCCAGCTTTGAGAAGATTCAATTTTTTGACAGATTTTCTATCAACACCTCGCTGGAAAAAAACACACTGTAATGTAAGAGTTCCTGCGTCTTTTTATATTGGTGTGAGATGTCGGTTGTCGAGTCAAATTACAGCGGTATTATCGCCACCTACTGTTAGGTCATGTGAATAGCTGAGGCCCTGTGGTATTTCTCTCAACCCCCCTTTTTTTTTGCCCTGACCAAAGCCCTTGATCCACTGAAGACCCATGTTTGGGTCACGACCCACCCGTTGAGATTTCTCTTAGAAGCAGTACAATTATAGACTTTACTGTACAAACGTGTGTTTCTGAATTTATTGTCTTAGGGAAAATTTCTGATATTGGTTTAGTTTTAGTCAGCTCAGGTTATGACACTTGATCAGAGTTTGTGGAAATCAGTTTCCACAGAGTGGATTTTCAAAATCTAATGTTTCAGTATTTTAATTCACATGGGGCAAAAAGAGAGTTTTTGACTCTTGATGTCGTTCTCAGCGCTGATGTCTGTCGAGCTGTTGTAAGAACGTTGTTGGGTAACTGGAAGTGACGGTCAAACCGTCCTCTAATTGGACAGCAAGCCTTGACAGGCAGGTCATGTGACAGGCTGACGTTCTGGTCGGTGCAGTGTTTGACAGAAGCATCGTTTCTTTACATCTAAAGCCAAAACTGAAACTCCTCCCAGTGCAGAGTGGAGACCAAATGTCAGACGTCGCGGTCTGTAACACAGATGCCGAACCGTGGCTGAACTCCGGCACTTCTGGACTTTAACCTGAAGTGGCAGAGCTGAGAGGTGCAGTTTACGTTGGCAGTGGTGTAATTCCAGCTCAGTGTGACCAGCGTAAACAGTGACTGCTGAGCAGATATCAGTAACTGGATAACAGACCTCAAGAGTTTCCTCAGTGAATCCCTCAGAAGTAATCTGAATCGGACTCAATCACAGGTTGGCACAGACGAGTCCAAGCCTGCTGGATATACATACGTACTGCAGTTTGACAAAGTGAGAGGCTTAAAACCACAACGTGTTCCCCTCTTATTCTTCCTGCGGCACGAGATGTTTCTGTCAGACGCCACAAATGTTCAAATTCCCAATCATCTCATCGCCCACCCACTGAGTTATACTGTAGAATAAGTCTTCAACCAGAGTTCATGTGAATTGTCAATAAAATCCACTGGAGTTCGTCTCCAGACAGAGTTTCTACCACAGTCACTTACTGTATTTACGATTCTACTCATAGAGGGTTTCCTGACTGCCGTTCAACCATCTGTTCTCTCTGTATCTGATATTTTTCTTGATCTTCATGTCGATTTCTCTGCGGCTTTTTGTTGTAACTTCTCAATCATTTAATCA